ATGTTTTTTTTTTAATGTTATTTAATCTTTTTATTTACTATTTTAATTTTATTTTTGATTTTTTAATATGATTGAAATTAGATAAATACAAACCCTCAGAAAGAGAAAAATGTGATTATAATTAGTTGAATGATTTTTTTTTTTTAATGTGATTGTAGTTAATAGTTCTTTTTTTTTTTTTCATTGTAGTTAGTAGTTAATAGTTCAATGGTTTTTTTTTAATGTTATTTAATCTTTTTATTTACTATTTTAATTTTATTTTTGATTTTTTAATATGATTGAAGTTAGATAAATATAAACCCTCACAAAGAGAAAAATGTGATTAATTTTAATTTTATTTTTGATTTTTTGTGACACTAACTTATTTTCAAAAAAATAAAATAAAAGATAAAAAAAAAAACAATTTTCAAAACCTTAAAAGTGTAGATGCATATGAGCAAAATAGGGATATCTAATATCCCTATTTTTTTAATATGATTTAAAAAAAACAATTATCAAATATGAGAAAAATGTGTTAAGTCTTACACTAACTTATTTTCAATCTTTCTATTTACTATTTTAATTCTATTTTTGATTTTTTAATATGATTGAAGTTAGATAAATATAAACCCTCACAAAGAGAAAAATGTGATTATAATCAGTTGAATGATTTTTTTTTTTAATGTGATTGTAGTTAGTTTAATAGTTCTTTTTTTTTTCATTTATTTATTTTATTATGGGAAAAATGTGATGTGATGTGATTGTAAGATAGCGCATAAAAATATTTGTGATTTGTCTAGCGAATAAAAAATTATAATTTGATTTTTTAATATGATTGAAGTTAGATAAATACAAACCCTCACAAAGAGAAAAATGTGATTATAATTAGTTGAATGATTTTTTTTTTTTAATGTGATTGTAGTTAATAGTTCTTTTTTTTCATTTATTTATTTTATTATGGAAAAAATGTGATGTGATTGTAAGATAGCGCATAAAAATATTTGTGATTTGTCTAGCGAATAAAAAATTATAATTTGATTTTTTAATATGACTCGAGTTAGATAAACATAAACACTCACAAAGAGAAAAATGTGATTATAATTAGTTGAATGATTTTTTTTTTTTAATGTGATTGTAGTTAATAGTTCTTTTTTTTCATTTATTTATTTTATTATGGGAAAAATATGATGTGATTGTAATTTGTTGAATGACTCTTTTTTTTAATATGATTGTTGTAGTTAGTTTAATTTTTTTTTTCAATTATTTTTTTATTATGAGAAAAATGTGATTTTAGCTAGATAGCATTAAAAAAATTGTGATATGTATTATTGAAGTTATCTCCTTTTGTTTATAATTTGATTTTTAATATGATTGAAGTTAGATAAAAATAAACACTCATAAAAAAAAATGTGATTGTAATTTGTTCAATAGTTCTAAATATTCTTTTTATTTACTATTTCAATGGATCTTTTTTTAAATGTGATTTAATCGTTTTATTTAATCGTTTTTTTTAATGTAATTGTAGTTAATAGTTCTTTTTTTTTTTTCATTGTAGTTAGTAGTTAATAGTTCAATGGTTTTTTTTTAATGTTATTTAATCTTTTTATTTACTATTTTAATTTTATTTTTGATTTTTTAATATGATTGAAGTTAGATAAATATAAACCATCACAAAGAGAAAAATGAATGATTTGTAAATAAACCCTCACAAAGAGAAAAATGTGATTAATTTTAATTTTATTTTTGATTTTTTAATATGATTGAAGTTAGATAAATATAAACCAAAATAAAAGATAAAAAAAAAACAATTTTCAAAACCTTAAAAGTGTAGATGCATATGAGCAAAATAGGGATATCTAATATCCCTATTTTTTAATATGATTTAAAAAAAAACAATTATCAAATATGAGAAAAATGTGTTAAGTCTTACACTAACTTATTTTCAATCTTTTTATTTGCTATTTTAATTTTATTTTTGATTTTTTAATATGATTGAAGTTAGATAAATACAAACCCTCACAAAGAGAAAAATATGAGTATAATTAGTTGGATGATTTTTTTTTAATGTGATTGTAGTTAATAGTCCTTTTTTTCATTTATTTATTTTATTATGGGAAAAATGTGATGTGATTGTAAGATAGCGCATAAAAATATTTGTGATTTGTCTAGCGAATAAAAAATTATAATTTGATTTTTTAATATGATTGAAGTTAGATAAATACAAACCCTCACAAAGAGAAAAATATGAGTATAATTAGTTGAATGATTTTTTTTTTTTTAATGTGATTGTAGTTAGTTTAATAGATTTTTTTTTCATTTATTTATTTTATTATGGGAAAAATGTGATGTAATTGTAAGATAGCGCATAAAAATATTTGTGATTTGTCTAGCGAATAAAAAATTATAATTTGATTTTTTAATATGATTGAAGTTAGATAAATACAAACCCTCACAAAGAGAAAAATGTGATTATAATTAGTTGAATGATTCTTTTTTTTTTAATGTGATTGTAGTTAGTTTAATAGTTCTTTTTTTTTTCATTTATTTATTTTATTATGGGAAAAATGTGATGTGATTGTAGTTTATTGAATGGTTCTTTTTTTTAATATGATTGTTGTAGTTAGTTCAATGATTTTTTTTTCAATTATTTTTTTATTATCAGAAAAATGTGATTATAGCTAGATAACATTAAAAAAATTGTGATATGTATGATTGAAGTTATCTCCTTTTGTTTATAATTTGATTTTTAATATGATTGAAGTTAGATAAACATAAACACTTATAAAAAAAATGTGATTGTAATTTGTTCAGTGGTTCTAAATATTCTTTTTATTTATTATTTCAATGGATCTTTTTTTAAATGTGATTTAATCGTTTTATTTATTGTTTTAATGGTTCTTCTTTACAATTATTTTTTTTATTATGAAAAAAATATGATTATAGTTAGATAGCATAAAAATATTTGCGATTTTTATGATTGAAGTTATCTCCTTTTTTGATTTGTATTTGGTCTAGCCAAAAAAAAAAATTATAATTTGATTTTTTAATATGACTCGAGTTAGATAAACATAAACACTCACAAAGAGAAAAATGTGATTATAGTTAGTTCAACAGTTCTTTTTTTTAATATGATTGTAATTAGTTTAATGGTTTTTTTTTCCATTTATTTATTTTTATTATGGAAAAAATGTGATGTGATTGTAGTTTGTTTAACGGTTCTTTTTTTAATGTGATTGCAGTTAGTTTAATGGTTCCTTTTTTTTCATTTATTTGTTTTTATTATGAAAAAAAATGTGATGTGATTGCAGTTAAAAAATCAAATCATGCAAATTACAAATATTTTTAAGTCAGATAAACATAAACACTCACAAAGAGAAAAATGTAATTGTAGTTAGTTCAATGGTTTTTTTTTTTAATGTGATTGTATTGTAGTTAGTTTAATGGTTATTTTTTTCATTTATTTTTTTATTATGGAAAAAATGTGATGTAATTGTAGTTTGTTCAATGCTTCTTTTTTTAATGTCATTTAATCTTTTTATTTTCTGTAGTTAGATAGTATAAAAATATTTTTTATTATGAGAAAAATGTGATAGGATTGTAGTTTTTACAATCCGTTTTGATCACACAGTGAATTTATTTTAACTGATTGTGTTTTTTTACATTATATTTCGATCACATGATGAGGAAAGAAATTTGTTTGCGTTGTGACAATCTCTGTGTTTTTATAGGATGGAACGTGATTCAATTACTGCTAAAGTCAATCGACTATGTCGAAAAAGAAAATTACTCATTTCACGCCAGACTGATCATGATGATCCCATATTCAAGGATAAATTGAAACAACTTCAAAAAGAAGCACGTCGATTAAGAGTATGTGTTCTACGTGACAAACAATTGCATTATAGAACGAATGTTCGAAATGCCACAAGTAAGCTCTGAAGTATTATCATTTTCATATATATTAATTGAAACATTAGTTTTTATACTCAATATATATATATATATATTGCTGCAATTTAAAATACAGGAGTTCTTATGCCTTCCACATTAGAGGGTGTTCACTTCCACCAAAATGTTTCAAGAGTCACCACATTGACAAACAATACTAATGTTCTAAATGGTAAGAACCTCGAGTAATAATATTTTCTAATTATGATTCGTTTATATTATAACTTGCAAATACTAATATGTGCTACTTTTATAATGAATGATAATAGTTATATTGTTTCTATTTTTCATGAAAGTTATATGATGCAATAGTCACGCCTCCCATATTTGAGGAAGAAGGAAAGACATATTATTTATATTAATTTTACAATTATGATTTATTTGACAATATTCTTATAACTTCAAAAAAGTAATGATTTTATACTAATTATTTTATTCATATATTTCAAATAAAGGAATTGTTATTCATGTAAGTATAACATTTTTACTTTATAACATTTTATAAATACATAATAATGTAAATCCAAATAAAGGAATTGTTATATTCTTGATATTTGAGGGTGTTTAGATACATGAAGATATTTCAAAATTCACAAGGGTAACAAATAATAATATTGTCTTACAAGAAGGTAAACACTAACATATATATAGATTTTGTAATTACTATTTTTAAAATTATAATTCATGATACTTATATTGTTTATTTTTTCATCCAATTAGATGATGGGATAGTCATGTCTCAAAATTTAGAGGGCATTCAGTTGCATAGAGGTTTATTACAAGAAACTATGATAGCGAACAACAATATTGTCATAGAAGAAGAAGGTAATAATTATTACTTGTATTAATTTTATAATTATGATTTATTTGACAATATTATCATAACTTCAATTAATAAAAGATTTGACACTAAATATTTTATTCATGCAAATTCAAATAAAGGAATTGTTGTGTTTCCGATATCTGAGGAAGTTCGCATACATGAAGATGTTTCGGAAGTTACAAGGGTGGTGAATAATAATATTGTCCTACCAGAAGGTAAACCCTAATATATATATATATATATATGTTTGTAGATATTAATATTTTTAATTATAATTTTTAAAATTATAATTGCCAATAATTGATATTCACGAACCTTTAAATTAAATATTAATTTTTAAGTTAATCATTTCTCAATGAAATTTTAGATGATGAAATAGTCATGCCCCTCATAGTTGAGGACATTCAGTTGCATGGAGATATCTCAGAAGTCACTTTGACAACAAATGTTAATATTCTTCCACGACAAGGTAAGAATAAACTATTATGTTATTCATAACTCATAATTTATACTTATCTCATTACTATTCTCATTGTATTATTTCACATAAGTTTATTTTGGGATATTTAATTATTTTTCAATGATTTTTTACGATAAAATAGTCATAAATCCCATAAGAATTATTTTGTAATAATTTTGTTTAAAATATTAATGACAACTCCTACAATTTAAATATACATTGTCTCAAAAGTATGTATATATATTTATGTTAGGTATGCCTTTCATACCTTTTCATAAAATTTCATAACTTAAACCCAAAATGTCATAACTTTTTCACTACCAAAATCATAACTTTATTGCACTAAAAAATGTCGTAACAAAATCTCAAAAATGTCATAACAAAATCTCGAAGTGTCATAACAAAAATCACAAAATGTCATATTATTCCTAATTTTAAGGTGCACATCATAAATTCGCTATTTATAACTTTATTACAAAATGTCATAACACATATTACAAACAATCATAACGTTCATTAGTAAAAAATCATAACTTTTTTACAATGTGTATCATTTAAAAGGGTGCACATTGTAAATTTTTCCTACATATAATACTAATTATTTACGATATGCATCATACAGATGTTGCAATCGTTGCACGTCGCAGAAAATGACGCATAATGAGTAGATGGAAATTTAGTGACAGAACATTCACATGTCCACGATGTGACGCCATCATGTGGTTAGATGAGAGAACAAAGGATAGTTCTAAAACCAATCCCAAATTCAGATTATGTTGTTAAGCTGGGGAGATCCTTTTACCTTTATTGCCACACGCTCCTGACTTCTTAGATGCACAATTGAGGAATGCAAGTTTTTTGGAAAAAATTAGAATGTATAATTCAATGTTGTCTTTCACATCAATGGGTGGAAAAGTAGATCATTCAGTTTCAGATGGAAGAGGTCCATATGCATTTCGGATTATAGATGGAAATTTAGTGACAGAACATTCACATGTCCACGATGTGACGCCATCATGTGGTTAGATGAGAGAACAAATGATAGTTCTAAAACCAATCCCAAATTCAGATTATGTTGTCAAGCTGGGGAGATCCTTTTACCTTTATTGCCACACGCTCTTGACTTCTTAGATGCACAATTGAGGAATGCAAGTTTTCTGGAAAAAATTAGAATGTATAATTCAATGTTGTCTTTCACATCAATGGGTGGAAAAGTAGATCATTCAGTTTCAGATGGAAGAGGTCCATATGCATTTCGGATTAGCGGTGAAAATTATCATAGAATAGGGTCACTGTTACCAACTCCTGGTGAAAAACCTAAGTTTTCCCAACTATATATATATGATACAGAGCATGAATTGCAAAATCGTCTTGATGTGATAGGCCAAACCAGTACAAATATTTCAGGCATTAATTTGTCAATATTGGAAGGTTTACAAGAAATGTTAAATGCAGTTAATCCTTATGTGAAAATATTTCGAAGTACTGGAGATTTGTTGCGGGATCGTAATGTATTGAATTTACATGTGCGCATTTTAAACTCCAGAGGTGAACGACAATATATCAGGCCAACTGCAAATGAAGTTGCGGCGATAATCATTGGTGATGATGCTGGAACTGAAACACATCGTGATATCATTGTTCAGAAAAATGATGGTATATTAAAAAGAATCAGTGAAATACATCCATCATATGTACCATTACAGTACCCATTACTGTTTCCATATGGTACAGATGGATGGAGGTGCGGCATCTCTTCTAATACATTCTCAAGCAGATCTCGAAACAATGTGTCAATTAGAGAATTTTATGCATTTAGACTCCAACATAGAGAATTTGAAGGTAAAACACTTTTAAGAGGAGGGCGTTTGTTTCAATAATTTGTCGTTGACTGTTATGCTGCTATTGAGCAAACTAGATTGAATTACATCAAGACCCATTAAGCTGAGTTGCACGCAGACCTATATCAAGGAATAGAAGATGCTGTAGTTGCTGGAGATGTAGATGCGTCAGCAGTAGGGAGAAGATTTGTGTTGCCTTCGTCATTCTCTGGGGGGCCACGTAGTATGATCCAACGTTATCAAGATGCTATGGCAATTTGCAGAACTATTGGAGCTCCTGATTTGTTTATCACGTTCACATGCAATCCTATATGGCCAGAAATAAAAGTTGATCTTCCAAGACTACCGAATCAACGTGCAGAAGATAGACCTGATATCGTTGCTAGAGTTTTTCGGATTAAGTTTAAACAACTACTAACCGACTTGAAGGAAAATAAAATATTTGAAGAAGTACTGTCACGACCCAAACCCGCCCCTATGGGTTTAGCACCGTAACCGGCCAGTAATCCGAGATTACCGAAGGCCTGCTTAACAGTAAAATAGTAATTCAGAGTACAGGGGCTGGCAGAAGCCAATACAGTAATTAAAATATGTCCAGTGAGCTGTGACTGTCTGTATGCAAAAAGACTTTTCATTACACATGTACAATCAGTACCAAAACAGTATGTACAATATATACAATCATTCAGGACAAGGACTTAATCCCTAATAGAACAGTATAGTACAACATCATTCAGTCTATACAGAACATAAACGAAAAGGAGGAAAACTAAAACACCCCAAAAGCCCTAGCTTGAAGGACTTGGAACCTCTCAGTGAGGCACGTTGGTTGGCTTGACAAAACTGGAGTTTACCCTGACACTTCGAGCAATAGTCCGGTGCCTGTACACCTACATATATATATGAGCAGTGAGCTAAAGCCCAGTGAATAACATATGCGAAAAGAGGTTAAGAATGAATGTCCTTTCAATATTGAAAACGGTCATTTAAACAGTATATCAGTCATTCAGTTTGTGGCTCACATTTCAGGCCATAACAGTCATTCAAAAACTATAATAGTCATATGTGGTACATCCAATAGCAAAACAGTACAGTAGGTCTTATCAGACCGAACAGTCAGTTGATGGCCATCATATCAGTAAACAGTAGTGGTTCCAACATGGGAACCGACAGAGATCTTTGTGACAATAGCAGTACAGTACAACAACAATAATAGTAGGTTGCTATGGATGCCACGAATACAGCTCACAAATAGGACATCATTCATTCAGTAATAGTATCATTTCAGAAAACAGTACAGTTCAATTGTTCAGAAGATAATCATTATTGAACATATCTTTACAACATTGTTACTCACAGAGTTCTGGGCTACAGATAAGCTAGTACGCGTCCTCGGATGCCAACCCTACACAGTTACAGAGTGAACACACACTAAGCTACACAGTTGGGAAATAATAACTTAATCCCTATCTTGACTCGGTGTGGTTCTACATCGATATCCTCATTAAGATGCCTTAAACTAGGCCTAAGAATGCCTAGGATGAAATGAGGATGCAAAGATGCACTTTTAAAACACTTAACAAATTTTTAGAAAACAGGGGTCCCGCTCGAGCGTGGGTTTACCCGCTCGAGCGGATAGGCAAACAAAATACTCCGCTCGAGTGCGAGTTACCCCGCTCGAGCGGACTGTAAAACATGCCAAAAGTACTGGATGTATGAAAATCACGCTCGATTGGGCGCTCGATACCCGCTCGAGCGTGTGACGCAAGTCCTCGCTCGAGCGTCCAATACCCCGCTTAAGCGAACTGTAAAACAAGACCAAAGTGCTGGGAGCACGAATTTCACGCTCGAGCGCCAGTCACCCCGCTCGAGCGTGAGTCCAAAGTCTGGAATTTCCAGATTTGAACCTCAAGCTCAAAACTCAACTTTAAATCATCAAATTTGATCCTCTTGGGCTAATTTTCTGGAAAACACTTCAAAACCCATAATATTACATGTTTCAAAGATCGATTTGAGAAATCAAAGCCCAAGGGTAGTTCAATGAAACACAATAAATTTCAAGAACATAGTTTTAATGTGACATGCAAGTATTTAACCAAGATCAAAGCTTCAATTACATGCTCTAATGAGCCAGTTTCCTCAAAAACAAGATGAATTCATGGTCCATTGCAAAAATATGAACATGCATGTGGAATTTCATGAACATTAACTTCAAAACTCAAGAATGGCAACATGCATGCTTGGATTAAGCTCTTAATTCAACATATGAAGCTAATTCATGTCTTTAATCTCTAGACTTCCATGCCATGCAACAAAATGACTTGAATTCATGAACAAGAAGGTATAAACTCTACCTTAAGTCTCCAATTGTAAGACTAGAAGCTCAAGTAGGCAATCTTTTCTATGATTCTTCAAATTCCAAGCTAAAACTCTCAAGAATAACTCAATTCTCTCTCTCTCTCTCTCTCTCTCTCTCTCTTAGTCGGTTGAGGGCTCAAGAATGGCTGAACAAATGTTTTTTTTGAATGTAATAAGGCTTCAATATGTGTTGCCTAAGTGGTCCACTAACATGGCATTATGGTAAATACTTGGACTTTTGTGCTTCAATGCTATTTAATCTAATTTAATCATACCGAATCACATTTTGAGTAAATATACCATAAAATCCCATAAATTCTAATTAGCACATAACGCTAATCAATTTCTGGTTCGGCCGCCGATAAGGCCTTCAATTTGCAGTTTAAAACATAAAACATAAACAGATAATTTGACAGTCGAACAGATAGAAATGCACTTAAACAGATGCAGACAATCAATCAGTTCAGGATTTCAGTCAATTCAGTCAATTATCATGATCAGTCTCAGTTTAGCAGTAATCAGTGGTGTTATCAGTAAATAGTGGTGAGGGTTATTACAAGTACTTTTAGGTATTATTATTCTAACACCTGTGCATTTATGATATAACAAATACTCTTAAATGTCTAATGTATCAATAATTATTTTTATGAACAGTTATTTACGTCATCGAGTTTCAAAAACGGGGATTGCCGCATTCTCACATTACAATCACACTGGCATCGAAGAATAAACCAATCACACCTGAACAAATTGATGAGTTTATATGTGTTGAATTGCTTGACAAAAATACAGACCCATTGGCATATGAGACTGTCGTCAGATGCATGATACATGGACCTTGTGGTGCTGCTAATCCCAATGCTCCATGCATGGTAGATGGAAAGTGTACAAAACATTATCCGAAGAAATTTTGTAATGAAACAACAATTGATGATAATGGATTTGTATCATACAGGCGTAGATGTGATGAGGGCAACACAATAAATATAAATGGATTTATAGTTGATAACAGATGGGTCATTCCATATAATCGTGATCTTTTGGTGCGATATGATTGCCACATTAATATTGAACGATGTGCGCACCCGAAGTTGATGAAATATTTGTACAAATATGTCAACAAAGGGCCTGATCGTATGACAACTGTGATTGAGGATAATGTTATTCATCCAAACAATAATGGGCAACAACATTACAAACAAGTTGATGAGATTAAACAGTATTTGGATGCTCGATACGTGTTTGCGATTGAAGCGTGTTGGAGGATATTTGAGTTTGAAATTCAGAAACAAACTATCATCTTCCAGGTCAACAATTTGTTATATTTAATGACAATGATCATCTACACGAAGTTATTGACCAACAACGTGTTCATGACACAATGTTGACCAAATGGTTTGAAGCAAATAGAACCCACCAATCTGCAAAGGAGTTGACTTATGTTGAATTTCCAACAAAATGGGTATGGAAAATAGATAAAAAAGAATGGGATGTTCGAAAATCACATAAATGTATTGGTAGATTGCCATATGCACATCCAACATCGGGCGAGAGATATTATTTGAGAATGTTATTGAATAAGGTTCGTGGTGCAGAAAGTTTTGAGCATATCAGAATTGTAAATGGGGTCGTGCATATAACATTTAAATCTGCATGTATTGCCCTTGGTCTACTCGATGATGATAATGAATGGCACGAAGCATTGGCAGAAGCATCAAATTGGGCATCAGCAACAAAACTTCGACATATGTATTGCACAATGATCATGTTTTCTGATATAACCAATCCAGTCGAATTATGGGAACGTCATTGGAAAAGTTTCACTGATGATATACAATATAGAATCATAAGAGATATGAGAGATAGTGATCTATATCTTGACGATGAAGACTTAAAAAATTTAGGACTTCTCGAAATTGAGCATATATTAAATAGAAATGGAAGATCTCTCAAAGATTTCCCTCCCATGCCATTTCCATCTTCGCAAGGTGCTTAATTTGTGACAAATAGGCTCATCAGAGAAGAGATGGAGTACGATAGTGTTTCGGAAAAACAATTGTTCAATGAATTACATTCTGGTTTAAATAGTGAGCAATTGGAAGTTTATGACACCATAATGAATGCATACAATTGTAAAAAATGGGGTTTGTTTTTCCTTTATGGAAGTGGGGGAACAAGAAAAACATATCTCAAGGTGCTTAATTGTGACAAATAGGCTCATCAAAGAAGAGATGGAGTACGATAGTGTTTCGGAAAAACAATTGTTCAATGAATTACATTCTGGTTTTAATAGTGAGCAATTGGAAGTTTATGACACCATAATGAATACATACAATTGTAAAAAATGGGGTTTGTTTTTCCTTTATGGAAGTGGGGGAACAAGAAAAACATATCTGTGGAAAACATTGATAGCAAAGTTTAGGTCAGAAGAAAAAATTGTCCTTTCGGTTGCATCATTTGCAATTGCGGCTTTACTGTTACCAGGAGGTAGAACTGTGCATTCACGCTTTAAAATTCCAATTAATTTGGATGAATTCTCAAGTTGTAGTATTAATCAACAGACTGAACTGGCAAAATTAATTCAGGAGGCATCATTGATCATATGGGATGAAGCTCCAATGCACCATCATTATGGATTTGAGGCAGTTAATCCTACTTTCAGAGATATACTAAAGGGTACAAAATTTTTTTCAACTGATTGTGTAATTGGTGGAAAACTATTCATACTTGGTGGTGACTTCAGAAAAATTTTACCTGTAGTACCAAAAGGTAGGTGGGAAGCCACAATTGCAGCATCGTTGAAGGAATCGACTATTTGGAATCATTGTCGTGTGTTGCATTTGAGGACCAATATGCGTATTATGGCCCATGATACTTCTATTCAAATGCGTCAACAACTAAGGGATTTTGCTAACTGGATATTGATGATTGGTGATGGAAAAATACCTGGAATTTCTTTCATTGAAGGTGGGGAGACTAATTGGATTGAAATTCCAGAACAGTTCTTGATTAGAAATGGATCACATGCTCTACATGATTTGATCCATGCAATCTGTCCAGAATTAAGTACTAGATACAGTGACAGTTCTTACTTGAAAGAATGTGGCATTTTAGCACCAAAAAATGCTGATGTTGATGAATTAAATGTCATAATGCTATCAATGTTGCCTGGAGAATCTTGAAAATACCTAAGTGCAGATACGATATGTCCAGCTGAGGGTGAGAACCTTGACGAAGGCATGCATCCACCAGAGTTATTGCACTCATTAAATTTTCCAGGAATTCCAAGTCATTGCTTTGAACTCAAAAAGGGAGCACCTATAGTGCTACTGAGAAATCTCAATCAATCTCAAGGTCTATATAATGGCACCCGTTTTATTGTTGAGAGAATGGGAGATATAGTGATTGAGGCACGAGTGATTACGGGTTCGAATCTTGCGGAAGGAGTTTTCATTCCACGTATCATTTTATCACCATCTACCACACATTCACCTGTCCCGATTAAAAGAAGACAATTTCTCATAAAATTAGCATTTGCAATGACCATAAACAAAAGTCAAGGTCAGACTTTAAAAAAAGTTGGTGTATACCTTCCTAATCCAGTATTCTCCCATGGTCAGTTATATGTTGCCTTATCGCGTGTTACCACACCATCAGGCTTGAAGATATTGATTGTTAATAAGGTTGACCAACCATCAAATTACACAAAAAATGTTGTATATCATGATGTCCTTGATGGCATTTGAAGATTGAAATAAAATGTCTTTTCAAAATTTGAATGACTATGTTTTTTTTATTCTTTAATTATACAATACTTACTACTCTAAATTCTAAATCTTATCCAAATTATTACATTTAGTATACAAAAAATTGGATGATCTAATCTTTTTTTTTTTTTCATTTTCATTTAATAAAAATAATTAAAAAACTTACCCTTACAAAATATGTTTGTATAATATTTTTTGTATAATAATTCATTACTTATTTTTTCTATTTTATCATAATGTAAACTTAACAATTTTTATTTTTTTATTAAAAATTCTTAATATTTTCATTTTCAAATTTCTTAAGATCTATAGATACATTGTATAAAAATTATAAATTCATATTTTGCTCATATGCATCTACATTGTCAATAGGTGATAGAATTATCAGATATCCCTATTTTGCTGATTTACATCCATATGCAAGTAATTGGAGCGTTAAAACAAAGTTAGTCAGGTTGTTATCTGTGACTAATCGTCCTGGGGGAAATATGACATTCAGAATGATTTTTGTTGATGGACAGGTATTTACAACTCTTATCATGAGATAATTGTTAAATATTTTGTTTTATATTATGTTAAAAGTGTGTACTTATTAGCTTTTTTGAAAGGGTGATGCCATGGAAGGAACTGCATGCTCTGAGGAATATGATTACTTCAAAGAACATTTAATTGAGGGAAAAATATATTGTTTTAGAGGAGTTCATATTACATTGGTTGAAGAGAAATTCAAGTTGGTGCCATATTATTATAAGATGTCTTTTACTAATGATACAACAATTGTGGACATACTTGATCATGATAATAATGTACCATTTCAGTGGTATTTCCTTAAAAAAATATTAGACATTGGGCAATTTCTTCATCAAGATGTTCAATTAATAGGTACGTTACTTTTACTAAATGATACTTATCTAGATTATATACTTACATAGTTTATTACCAATACAAAAAATTTGTGACTATCAAAACAATAAACATGCAAATGCTAAAATATGCAGATGTGATTGGCCTGGTTGTTAGTGTAACTGAATGTCAAGGTATTGCAAATCGTGATAATTACAAGAGAGAGATTCTACTACTTGATACAAGGTATGATACTATAACATATTTCTGTGTCTTTACCAAATTTGAAATACTCTACGAATTATATTATTTTTTCTAATCTCAACTCTTTTTTTTTTAATTGTAAAAACAGTTTCACATTGGTAAGACTAACTCTATGGGATGTGTTTGCAACAACTGATGGCATGCAACTATATCATACTCTAGAGAATGATAATATTTTGTTTGCCACTGGATTAACAGTTAAAGATTATCATGGTAGGATTACTTTTTATTCACTTTTATAATATCTACATGCATATACAAATATTGATATTAATAAATTATCTTTTCTCAACTTCTAGGTCCATGTCTCGCTACATGCAAATACAGCAAGTTATATATCAATCATTCATTCTGTTATACAAATCATATTTGAGTGTCGTATGTTATGATTGTATAATATTAATTAATTATTTATGACAATATAATTCTCACAATTATATATATATTGACATGTTTATCTAGGCTTGCTATGAATCCTATATCACAAAAGTTGGTATCTTGGAATCGAAAAAATGGATTCTCAATTTTATAGTCATTGATAATATTAAATGCCAAAAGAATTCGAATACATGATTTTGTACCCATGCCAAAGGTAAGAATTGTTATCATCCCAATTAATAATTGTTCTCTTTCTCCTCCGAAGCCGCCACACTTCCGCCTCCGACCACCACCTTCGCCGCCGCCGCAGCAGTATTGTTGTTGTTGTTGTTGTCGGCGTCGTCTACTAGTAGTGACAAAAATAAATGAGTTTTGATCATCTGAGAAAAATAGATGATAATAATAAAGAAATGATTGGTAAAGTGATTTGGGTTTTTGGGAAATTATTCAAAAACATCTAAAAAAAGTCTCCAAAGAAACACAAAGAGATCAGCTATATATATATACTAGTGCATGCCCGTGCCTGAAGGCACGGTGTAAATAATGTTGGTATCACATACTTTACAAAAATTAATGAAAATAAATCAATTTAAAATGGTAACAATTTCACTGCTACAGAAATCAATTGTAATAAATTAATTCAAAATGACAACAATTTCATTGCAATATAAAACTTTACACATAAGTCGAAATAGCAAATTACAGTTTTGGCAAACTTCATAATTAAAGTTTAAATAGCAAATTTATAATATAAAAATGTTGTGTACAACATAAACAAAGATATTTACGCCAAAATAACATATGTACAGTGAATTAAAATGAGGCAACCTTCAATAAAAGAATATGTCTAAATGAGGCAACCTTTAATAAAAGAATATGTCTAAATTAGTATTATAATTGAGTGAACATTTTGGTACAAAAGAGTAACCATCCTAACTTAAAAAAAATAAAAAATAAAAAATAAAAAAAAAGAAAAATTAATCATCCAATTTAGAATGAAAGAGCCAACCATCAACACGCATAGAAAAACAACACAATCCCAACATTTGTTAGGTGGATTAGTCACCTGCAACAAAAATTCACTTTAAAAAATCAATTAAAAGAAATCATAATAGGAACAATCATATCAAAATACCTTTGAAAAACAAATAAACCAATCACCACAAATTAATTGGAATTAAACATATGATCAAACACCTTTCAATTTAGTTCCCAAGTCTCTTGATTAGTGTATATCATAACTTGTGAGTTCACCTGTTGCTACTTAATGAATATGAATTGCTAAGTATAACTCTTCTTTCTTTTCCTTTTCTAATTGAACATGAAGAATTTAACAATTTAGATAATACATGAAAACAAATGAAAACAAATAATTATATCTAATTTAGAATCCCATTACAGATAGGCTCATGACAAAAATCTTTGCCCAATTAATTATTATACAACAATTTACTCAAAATTCTCACTATCACTGTTTTTCTGCAATATACTCATCACAACAAAAGAATGCGTAATGAAAAACCCAATAAAAAAATTTAAATACAAAGATGTTATCTTTTGTAATATCATGGACAATTGCCACTTTTATACACCTGAAATTTGAAGGAAAAAACAAATTTAAAAGTCAAAGTCAAAATATATCACTCTAATTGAAAAAAAAAAAAAAAAAAAAAAAAAAAAAAAAATTATGTTAGTGATGAGAAGAGATCGAACAATTTATATGTAATAAAGTTTTATATTTAGG